AGACTATGTAGGAAGTCACTATTTTTTTTGATTTGGAGTCTCACTCTGTCGCCCAGACTGGAGTGCAGTGGCAGGCTCCTGGTAACTGCAGTCTCGACCTGCTGGGCTCTGGCAATCCTTCCACTTTAGCTGTCCAAGGAGGTGGAACTAACTACAGGTGTGCGCTACCACGCCTGGCTAATTTTTGACTTATTGTAGAGATGAGGTCTCGCCAGGTTGCCAAGGTGGGTCTTGAACCCGTGGGCTTAGGTAATCTACTTGCCTTGGCTTCCCAAAGTGCTGGGATTACAGGCTGAGCCACCGAGCCCGGCCGGAATTTATTTTAACTTAATCCAGGGTGTCCAACCTTTTGGCTTCCCTGGGCCACATTGAGTAAAGAGGAACACACATATATTATATAATATAGTGTATATAAACAATAAGACTTCTTTTATCTTTTTATCATAAAGTTTAGAAAAATTAGAACAATGTGAAACTACTGGGAAATTTGATCTTTTTTTTTTTTTTGAGTTGGAGTCTCACTCTGTTGCCCAGACTGGAGTACAATGGTCGCTCCCGGCCACCACAGCCTCGACCTGCTGGGCTCTGGCGATCCTTCCGCCTCAGCCTTCCAAGTATCTGGAACTACAGGCGTGCGCTACCACACTGGCTAATTTTTTGATTTATTGTAGGGATGAGGTCTCACCAAGTTGCCCAGGCGGGTCTCGAACCCGCAGGCTCAGGCAATCCACTCACCTCAGCCTCCCAAAGGCGCGGGATTACAGGCTGAGCCACCGAGCCTGGCTGATCTTTCTTTTTTAATCTTGTTTTTGTAAAACTAACCAATCAGTGTCTGGTACGATGGAAGTAGTCACAATTCTTAGTGAGTTCTCAAGGTGCTCATCAGAAATGTCTGTTGCTCTTTGTGTGCTTTAGATTGAAAACAACTGCTCACAAATATATGTGCTACCAAAAAGCAATGTCAGGAATAAGGCGTGATTGTGACCTTCAAAAATGGAACTATGCAATGGGTCATGAAGAAAACAAATGCTAAAGAACACATGCTATTAAAAGATTTTGTGGGGCTGCTGTCCTAGCCCATGAATTGGACATGCCCAACTTAATCCTTTGGAAATGCTGAACGTGGGGGTACAGTAGAAAGTATAGATGAAATAGATTGGCCTTATTTATGTTAATTATTGAAGCTGGGTTATGTATACCTAGCAGTTCACCACAGTACTCTCCTTTTGGTTTGGAAAATTCCATGATAAAAACGTAAAAATAAAAAAGGGAGGCAAGATAGTATGTTCATAATGTCAGTACTTTGGGAGGATGAGGTGGAAGGATGACTTGAGGCCAGGAGTTTGAGACCAGCCTGAGCACCATAGCAAGACCCCATCTCCACAATAAATAAAATATTAGCCAAACGTGGTGGTGCATGCCTGTAAGCTCAGCTGGGAGGTTCAGGAGTTCAAGGCTGCAGTGAGCTATGATCACTGTGCTCTTCCAGCCTGGGTGACAGAGTGAGATCCTGTCTCAAAAACAAAAAGAACAACAACAACAAAAAAAAAAACAGAAGGAAAAAAGGGGCTGGGCATGGTGGCTCATGTCTATAATCCCACCACTTTGGAAGGCCAAAGTGAGAGGATTGCCTGAGCCCACAGGTTCGAGACCAGCCTGGGCAACTTGGCGAGACCCCCATCTCTACAATAAATAAAAAAGCCGGGTGTGGTGGTGCGTGCCTGTAGTTCCAGCTACTTGGAAGGCTGAGGCGGAAGAATTACCTGAGAGCCCAGCAGGTCGAGGCTGTGGTGGCTGTGAGCGTACTACTGCACTCCAGCCTGGGCGACAGAATGAGACTCTGACTCAAAAAAAAAAAGAAAGAAGGAAAAAAGGAGAGTGAGAAATTGGAAACAGCAAATAAATCCATTATAACGGGGTAAAAAGTAATTTTAGATATTTACAGAAGGTGCAGAATTGAGAGGAAAAAAATTTTAAAATTAACATTAGAGTTGTTGACCAAATTTTCATATCCTTTAACAACTAAGGCATAAGTGAGTTAATCTGGAATATATATATACACATATATATTTTATATATATATATACATATATATTACATATATATGTAATATTATATGTATTATATGTATATATATATTTTTTGAGTTGGAGTCTCACTGTCACCCAGACTGGAGTGAAGTGGCTGCTCCCGGCCACTGCAGCCTCAACGTGCTGGGCTCCAGTGGTTCTTCTGCCTCAGCCTTCCAAGTAGCTGGAACTACAGGCACGTGCTACCACGCCTGGCTAATTTTTTTTTTTGACTTTTATTGTAGAGATGAGGTCTCGCCAAGTTGCCCAGGTGGGTCTCGAACCTGCGGGCTCAGGCAATCCACTCACCTCAGCCTCCCAAAGGCGCGGGATTATAGGCTGAGCCACCGAGCCCAGCATGGAATATATTTTAACTGGCAAACCTTTGTCTAAAGAATGAATCTCGGCAAGGGGAGGTGGGCAAGAAAAGTAAGTAAATAAATAAATAATGAACCTCTGTAATCCCAGCACTTTTAGGAAGCTGAGGCAGGCAGAATGTTTGAGTCCAGGGGTTTGAGACCACCTGGGCAACATAGTAAATCTTGTGTCTATTAAAAAAAAAAAATCAAAAAATTAGCCAGGCATCATGATTATGCCATCGCACCACAGCCAGAGTGAAAGAGCAAGATCCCGACTCAAAGAAAAAAAAAGAATGATTCTTCATGTGTCTTGGAGGACTGGAGGACTCCAAAATCAAAACAAAACTCTCCATCTCTGAATACCTTTCACAATAGCTGAGATAGACCTGCTTAAAAGTGAAACATTAGACTAGGTGAGGATTTCCAACTTTTATCATCCTATGATTTTGATCTCTTTTTCAGTTTTGAAGTTTTACACTAATAGGCCCTACTTGTATCTGAATATAAATGACAGCATACAGCTATAGAATAAGTGCTCACCGCTAGAGGGACCCTCTGATCATAGGAGGGTATCTACACCCGCTACTAGCAGTTTTGAGTACACTGAAGAGAGTAGCAGGAAGAACATTTATGCCTAAAACATTCTCGGATCCAACTCCTACTAGTAAAAAAGTTTTCTCCTTAGCCAGCCTAGAGGAGAGCCGAGCCTGTGGGTTACAATCAAATTCAGAACTTTTGAGACTGTCCAATTCTTCTTCCAACCCAATTATGTATTAAGTTGCCTTCTCTTACATCTCAATGCTCTTCCTTCCTCTCCAACTGCTCTCACCATGAACCAACACCCACATCACCCCATTTGAATGATTAGTCTACCCAGTTTGCCTTTTCTATCCATTCTGATAGAACTTTGTTAACAGATTAGTCTCTAAATTATTTTATTTTTGAGTTGAAGTCTCACTCTGTCACCCAGACTGGAGTGCAGTGGCCGCTCCCGGCCACCGCAGCCTCGACTTGCTGGGCTCCGGCGATCCTTCCGCCTCAGCCTTCCAAGGAGCTGGAACTACAGGCGCGCGCTACCACACCCAGCTAATTTTTTGATTTATTGTAGAGATGAGGTCTCGCCAAGTTACCCAGGCAGGTCTTGAACCCGCGGGCTCAGGCAATCCACTCACCTCAGCCTCCCAAGGTGCAGGATTACAGGCTGAGCCACCGAGCCCGGCTTCTAAATTATTTTGTATCGTATCCTATTTAGGAACAAAAATCTTTCATGGTCCCCCACTGCACACAGCTTAAAGTAAAACTTTCTCAGCCTAGCAGTAAAGGTTTCCAATGTTGCTTCCACTTGTACCCATTCCAATATTCTCACTATGGTGTCTTCCTTTTTCTCCAAAAAAGATGACTCTCATGTCTCTAGGTCTTTGTGCTAAAGTGAAGTACTACTCAACACTTTTAGCCCACAGTAACCCTCAACCTCTCATTTTCTTCCACTTCTTCATTCTTTTTTTTTTTTGGAGACAGTTTCACTCTGTCACCCAGGTTGGAGTGCAGTGGCACACACACGGCCATGGCAGCCTCGATCTGCTGGGCTCAGGTGATCCTTCGGCCTCAATCTTTCAAGTAGCTGAAACTACAGGCATGCGCCACCATGCTCAGATAATTTTTTAATTTATTATAGAAATGAGGTCTTACCAGGTTGCCCAGGCTGGTCTCAAACCCTGGGCTAAGGCAACCCTCTTGCCTCAGCCTCCCGAAGTGCTGGGATTATGGGCATGAACTCCCGCACCCAGCACATATTTATTCTTTACCACTCTCAGCGAACTTAAATCCTTATCTGTATCGCATCTATCATGGTGTTTTTGTGAATATGTGTGCATGTGTTCATATTCCTCATGGACACAAGAAACTCTCAAAGGACAATTACTTTCTGACCTCCTACTACCCTGTGCATTGCTCATTAGCTGCTATGTAAATACTTGTTGAATGATCTTAACAAGATAGGGACTCGGGGTGTGAAAGGGAGCAATGTTTATTTCACTTGCTTCTCACCAAAGCTTCCCCACCTTCACGACTTAGGATGAGCCCTTCCCTGTGCGCCTTTTTGTCTAGTTTCCTATCACAGTATAAGAGACTAAGCTTAACCTCAGAGAAGAGGAAAACAGAGCTTGAGGGAAGCAGTCTCAACGATTTTCTTAGTGACACCCTAGAGCCAGTTTGGGGGAGGGAAAGAGGAGTCCGAGGGCCAACTGACCTCACACTTGTCCTCCACTGTCCCTCTTCTTTTCTCCTAAACCAGAGGAAACTTTGAGCTTTGGATTTCTAAATCCCTTGGTTAAACTGGGTTCCAACTTACGCAAGAGACCTCTAGTAAATCCCCTCATAGTCATGCAGCTTTTCCTTGTTAGGATGGTGGAAGAGTGTAAGGAATGAGGCCATAGACTGAAGCTGGAGAGAGGGACGCTGGAAAGGATGTGGCTTTTGTTTAGGGCAACATACAAAATGCTGAGCCTGGGAAGTGAAGTGAGAGGGTGGAACAGACGGTGTAGGAAAAAGAATCAGGGAAAAATAAGAGGTCTAAATAACTGATTAAAGTTTAATACATTAAAACCAGATATTTATCACTTTTATATTGCATTTGCCATTTCTGAGCAATACAAAGTAGAGGCAAATAGCGACACTTCATAAAAATGTTGATTCCCCATTCCTTTCCCAGACCCAGCCCTCCCTCAAATATTCCCTCCCACCCCTTACAGAATTCTGTCCTTAATAAAACACTTAAATACATCATAAATAGTAAATTATGAAAAAAATAGCAAGAGTTGTTTCTTTCCTTCTTGTAAAAAAGAACATGGCAGCAAAGACAGGCAGCCAGAAACTGGCTGAGGGTGTCTAATATAGACAGTTATTTGGGGTATGGGATAACCTGCTATCAAAGTAGGGTGGGATGGAGAAGGGACAGTACGGGAATTCTACAATCTGCCTGAGACACCAGGCCCCTTCGACCCCTGACAAGAGTGGAAGGATCAAGTGGATAACAGTAACTCTTCACGATAGGGAGGAGAGGGCTTATGTTCCAACTTCTCTACGTGATAGGACATTTCCAACTTCTCTACGTGATAGGACACGTGGCACAGCAATACCCTCATCAAGGCAAGAGTCTGCTGGTTCCCCATTGGTTTAAGAGAATATTCTCCAATCTCATAGATATGGACTACCTGTTAAACAGACACAGGTGTTCCCTCTCTACCTTTGCTCCAAGAACAGGAGAGCACTGCTGGAAAAGATGGGAAGAGCAAAACAATCTCCTCTGGAGAATGACCTAAAATTCATTTGGTAAGTCTTTATATTTAGAAAAACACATTCCAAATTGCAAAATAATAATCATAACAGCCTGGCAGTGAGTAGGGTCCTGCCTAGAGGGGAGGGCTCTGATCTCCCCATCGCCTGTGGCTGCCCCATGTCTTAACTAAAGGGGTAAAGACTACCTATGCCCCACTCTCTTCATTCCTTCAGCTTTAGGAAATTCATCAAGAGAGGAGGAGTTAAAGAGAAGATGCTCCTGGCAGAGCACCACACTTCCGCTTCACAAATACCAGGGATCTTTGATGGTACCCTGTGAATAGGTGGCCCTCCGACCTTTCTGCAGTTCTGACCTGAAAACTGGTGTGAAACTGCTTTGCGCTGTTTTCTTTTCCATTTTTAAGGGAAAAAAAGGGGAAAAGGGGGGCTGGGAGGTGGCTAAACACCCTTACCCCCCTCCCAGGAACCTTTACAAAGACTACAGGAGTCTTCTTTCAGCGACCAGAGATAAAGAACTAAGGTGGGGATGATGTGCCAGTCAGTCAGTCTGTCCTGAGGAAACTAAGAGTCCAGCTCCTGGTGAAAGGTAGATAAGGGGAGAGAAAACTGCCAAGTTCAGCAACTCCCCTTTCAGCATGAAGAATGGAGACTCGAAAAAAAATTCAATTGTGGAAGCCAAGGTGGGCCAGTTGAAATTCTGTGCCGCCCAACTCTGGAGCAGAGGAAATGCCGCTGTCCTCATATGTCCAAGGCACTAATGCCTACTCATAAGGAAGGGGAAGGAGAAGAGATTCTTCTTCAGGAAGGAGATGGAGAGCTCCCCTCACCTCCACTACCCTCCTTTTTTTGAAGAACAAGAAGATAACTCAGCATTGCTGGGGCAAGGCCTGACCCTTTGGGATTGCAGAGATGGTAGAATCTTGTTCCAGGTCTTCTGAGGCTTTGTGCTCACTGAAAAGGGAAAGGGTATAAGTTAAGCATGTGGAGTATAAGAGGAACAGAATTCAACCTGCTGGCAAGGGTAAGTAGTTTTAATTCACCCTCCAAGTATGAGGTACCAAAACCACAAATTTTTAAAAAATGCCAAGATTTAGGGGCACCCAGACCCTCTGCCCTTGCCAATTAACTTCTTGCTCTATTTAATCAGTGAGCCTCTTTATACCCTTCAAATCATTCACCTCCCACACATGCCAAACACTCACATGGGTGAACTCTGACTCTGCAATTTCAAGTTTTTCCAAGGTTGTACTAATAGAAGGGAGAAAAAAGGGAGGCAGAGAGAAAAAGAATTAGAGTAGAAAAAATGACTCTGTTCTCAAATCAAATCTCATGCTGCTTCTACATATTTCATTTCTGAATCATTTTAGGATTCAGAAAGAAGCTGAGCTACTAGATTCAGAAGACCACTCTTTGAATTAACTGTATTTAGCTTCTTTTTTTTTTGAAAGCAGGATTTATTGAGGGGGCAGAAAAGCTCTCATAGTGGGAGGGAATCCCAGGGGGTTGTCCATAGCTTCTTAAATACTATAAAACATTTCCTAGTGCCCTCCCTTCTTTTGTTTCAATCTCTGAGTGTGGTGGCAGCCTCCAGGATTGCCCCCAATAATCCCTGCCTCCTCCTGATATACATGCAATTCTCTCCTCTTGAGTGTGGGCTGCACTTAACAATTCCCTGATCTGCTTCTAGGGAATGGAAGCAGTATAAATGACACTTCCCCAGGCGAGCCTTTAAGCTAACAGCTTGACTATAACCTCCTGAGAGACCCTGAGCCAAAGGCATCCAGCTAGACCACAGAAACTGAGATAACAAGTGTTCATTGTTTTCAACTGCTAAATTTTGGGATTATTTGTTATACAACAATAGATAATACAGATTTTTCTTTTTCTTTTTTTTGAGTCAGAGTCTCACTCTATTACCCAGGCTGGAGTGCAGTGGCTCACTCATGGCCACAGCAGCCTCGACTTGCTGAGCTCAGGCGATCCTTCTGCCTCAGCCTTCCAAGTGGCTGGAACTACAGGCATGCGTCATGATGCGCAGCTAATTTTTTTGATTTATTGTAGAGATGAGGTCTCATCATGTTGCCAGCCTGGTCTCAAACTGGTGGGCTCAGGCAATCCTCTCACCTCACCTCAGCCTCTCAAAATGCTGGGATTACAGGTGTCAGTCACTGCACCTGGCTGACAATATAGATTTTCATACCTGAAACTGAGGTGCTACTGTAACAAAAATCTGAAATGGTGGAGTGGCTAAGGAAGAGAGGAGTGGCTTTGGGAAGAGATTTAGTGAAAGCTTATTGTCCTGAATATGCTGTCTACAGAATTTTGGACTTAAAAGGAGTTGATGGTAAGGGCTTAAAGTAAGGTGAAAAAATTTCTACTGGAAATTGAAGGAAAGAAAATCCTTATAATTTAGTAGCACAAAGTTTAGCAACAATGTCACCTGCAAGTATGTAAAAAGTTTAATATGTGCCTAATGAAATGGGTAATCTAGCTAAGGAGATTTCCAAGCCAAGTCCTGAAGGCACTACCTGGTTTCTTCTTGATGTTTACAGTAAAATATGAAAGAGAAATAAATTAAGGGAAGGATTATTAAAGGAAAAGAAACCAAGACTTGGTAAGTTTTGAAAATGCTAAGTCTCCCCAAAGAGTGTTTAAAACCAGCCTGGGCAACAAAGTGAGACCTCACCTCAATCAAAATAATAATAATAATAATATAAAAATTAGCAGCCTGTAATCCTGCACTTTGGGAGGCTGAGGTGAGTGGATTGCCTGAGCCCACGGGTTCAGGACCTGCCTGGGCAACTTGGCAAGACCTCATCTCTACAATAAATCAAAAAATTAGCCGGGCGTGGTAGCGCGTGCCTGTAGTTCTAGCTCTTTGAAAGGCTGAGGTGGAAGGATTGCTGGAGCCCAGCAGGTCGAGGCTGCGGTGGCCAGGAGCGGCCACTGCACTCCAGTCTGGGTGACAGAGTGAGACTTCAACTCAAAAAAAAAAACAGCAATAATAATAATAATAATAATAATAATAATAATAATAATAAAATTAGCCAGTCATGGTGGTGGTGCAGGCCTGTAGTCCCAGCTGCTTGAGAGGCTGAGGTGAAAGGATTGCCTGAGTCCGGGATGCTGAGGCTGCAATGAGCCATGACCATGCCATTACACTCTACCGTGGGTGACAGAGTGAGACCCCAACACAAAATAAACAAAAAGAAATGGCTTCTAAGCAAAGATCAAATCCAAGGCAATGCCAAGAAAATGTCTAAAGATGAAGCCACAAGTATGGCTGAAAACAATGTTATTAAGACCTCAGAAAAATAAAAGCTGGGGCTTCAGGGTACAGTCATCTTCTGGTAACTGCGTGGAACTGGTTCCAGGACCTGACTCAAATACTAAAATCCACAGATGCTCAAGTCTCTTATATAAAATAGTGTCGTATTTGCATATAACCTATGCATATCCTCCTGTGTAATACAAATCATCCCTAGTTTCTTATAATACCTAACATAATGTAAATGCTATGTAAATAGTTGTATAATTTAAGGAATAAAGACAAGAAAAGTCTGTACATGTCCATTACAGGCCCAACCATCATAGGCCTAACTACACAGTACACATCAGCAATAACGTAACATTCTCCTTTAGAGATAAGTTCTCACTCTGTGGCCCAGGCTGGAGAGCAGTGGTCATAGCTCACTGCAGTCTTGAACTCCTGGGCTCAAGATTCCTTCTACCTCAGCCTCCAGGGTAGTTGAACTACAGGTATGTACCATTATACCCTACTCATTTTTCAAATTTTTTGTAGAGAGGGGATCTTGCTGTGTTGCCCAGACTGGTCTTGAACTCCTGGCCTCAAGCAATCCTGCCATCTTGGCCTCCCAATCTGCTAGGGTTTCAGGCATGAGCCACTACATCCAGTTTATGGACTTTTTTTTTTTTTTGAGTCAGAGTCTCACTGACACCCAGGCTGGAGCGCAGTGGCATATTCACTGCCACTGTAGCCTTGACCTGCATAGGCGATTCTTCTGCCTCAGCCTTCTAAGCAGCAGGAACTACAGGTGCATGCCACCACGCCCAGCTAATTTTTTGATTATAGAGACAAAGTTTCACCAAGTTGCCCAGGCTGGTCTTGAACCCTGGGTTCAAGCAATCCTCTTGTCTCAGCTTCCCAAAGTTCTGGGATTATAGGCGTGAACCACAGTACCCAGCTTTTTTTTAGTATTTTCTTTTCTTTTCTTTTTTTTATTTTGAGTTGGAGTCTCACCTCGCTAGTATTTTCAATCCACCACTGGTTGAATCTGAAGATATGGAATATGCACATATGGAAGGCTGATTGTACTATTGTCATAAAAAAAGGCTGTTCAAAAAAAATTGCAGGTGTTTCACAGATCCTTTCAACTGAAAAATAGGGTCCAGCCGAGCTCGGTGGCTCAGCCTGTAATCCCGTGCTTTGGGAGGCTGAGGTGAGTGGATTGTCTGAGTCCGCGGGCTCGAGAGGCGCCTGGGCAACTTGGCGAGATCTCATCTCTACAATAAATCAAAAAATTAGCCGGGCGTGGTAGCATGCACCTGTAGTTCCGGCTACTTGGAAGGCTGAGGTGTAAGGATTGCGAGAGCCCAGCAAGTTGAGGCTGTGGTGGCCGGCAGCGTGCCACTGCACTCCAGTCTGGGGGACAAAGTGAGACTCCAACTCATAAAAAAAAGGAAAAAAGAAAAATAGGGTCTTTGAAAGTTAGGGGCTCATCAAGATATCTGTGTGGCCAGGCTCGGTGGCTCAGCCTGTAATCCCACGCCTTTGGGAGGCTGAGGTGAGTGAATTGCCCGAGCCCGTGGGTTCAAGACCTGCCTGGGCAGCGAGACCTCATCTCTACAATAAATAAAAAAATCAAGCCAGGCTCGGTGGCTCAGCCTGTAATCCCGCACCTTTGGGAGGCTGAGGTGAGTGGATTGCCTGAGCCCGCGGGTTCGAGACCCGCCTGGGCAGGCGAGACCACATCTCTACAATCAAATCAAAAAATTAGCTGGGCGTGGTAGCGAGCGCCTGTAATTCCGGCTACTTGGAAGGCTGAGGCGGAAGGATCACCGGAGCCCAGCAGGTCGAGGCTGTGGTGGCCGGGAACGGCCACTGCACTCCAGTCTGGGCGACAGAGTGAGATTCCAACTCAAAAAAAAAAGAAATCTGTGTGTTAGGCCAGGCATGGTGACTCATGCCTAAAATTCCAGCATTTTGGGAGGCTGAGGTAAGCGGATTACCTGAGCCCACAGGTTCAAGACCAGCCTGGGCAACCTGTTGAGACCCCATCTCTACAATAAATAAAAAAATAAGCTGGGCATAATAGCATGTGCCTGTAGTTCCAGCTGCTTGGAAGGCTGAGGTAGAAGTATTGTCTGAGCCCAGCAGGCCAAGGCTGCAGTGGCTGGGAATGTGCCACTGCCCTCCAGCCTGGGTGACAGAATAAGACTCTTTAAAAAAAAAAAAAAAAAAAGAAGCCGGGCTCGGTGGCTCAGCCTGTAATCCCGTGCCTTTGGGAGGCTGAGGTGGGTGGATTGCCTGAGCCCGTAGGTTCGAGACCCGCCTGGGCAACTTGGTGAGACCTCATCTCTACAATAAATCAAAAATTAGCCGGGCGTGGTAACATGCACCTGTAGTTCCAGCTACTTGGAAGGCTGAGGTGGAAGGATCACCAGAGCCCAGCAGGCTGAGGCTGCGGTGGCCGGGAGCGGCCACTGCACTCCAGTCTGGGCAACAGAGTGAGACTCCAACCCAAAAAAAAAAAGCCGGGCTCGGTGGCTCAGCCTGTAATCCCGTGCCTTTGGGAGGCCAAGGTGAGTGGATTGCCTGAGCCCGCGGGTTCGAGATCCGCCTGGGCAGCAAGACCTCATCTCTATAATAAATCAAAAATTCAGCCGGGCGTGTTAGCGCATGTCTGGAATTCCGGCTACTTGGAAGGCTGAGGCAGAAGGATCGCCAGAGTCTAGCAGGTCGAGGCTGTGGTGGCCGGGAGCGGCCACTGCACTCCAGTCTGGGCGACAGAGTGAGACTCCAACTCAAAAAAAAGAAATCTTTGTGTGTGGCCTGTATCATCTAATAAAGTGATTCTCACAGAAGAGACCCACAAAAATCTCTATAAGCAGAAATATTGCCAACTTGAACCAAAAGGGACAAACAGTGCAAAGTGAAGAGATCACTACATTCCCCAAATTATACTGGAAATAAACAGGCTGAGAAATCTACTCAGCTGCAAACACATTCTAGCTTTCATGAAAAAGGAAGACTCAGAAGACAAAAGCAAGTGTCCAGAGGGAGGAGCCAAGAGCTGTGAAGCCTGATCAAAGAAACTCCAAGTGCTGCATTTTGGAACAGCTCGTGAAATGAATTACTCCTTTTTGTGCTGCCTAGTTTCCCCTTTTTGTTCAGGAATGTGTATGGTGGTTATCTAATGCCTGTCCCACCACTGATTTTTTTTTGAGTTGGAGTCTCACTGTCGCCCAGATTGGAGTGCAGTGGTGGCTCCTGGTCACCGCAGCCTTGACCTGCTGGGTTCTGGCGATCCTTCCGCCTCAGCCTTCCAAGTAGATGGAACTACAGCCGCACGTCACCATGCCCAGCTAATGTTTTTGATTTATTGTAGAGATGAGGTCTCACCTGCCCAGGCGGGTCTCGAACCCGTGGGCTCAGGCAATTCACTCACCTTAGCCTCACAAAGACGCGGGATTACAGGATGAGCCACCGAGCCCGGCTGCACCACTGATGTTACATGTCTGGAGAGAGGATCACTTGTCTCTTCAGTTTCATAGGTCCACAAACTGAGAGGAACTGTACCTGAGGAACTCACTCAAACCCGGACATTATTTAGGTAATACAATTCTGGATGATGCTTTAATGGGATGAGACTTTGGAGAGCTTGGAAGGGAGTAAGTGTATTTTGCACATGGAAGAATGTGAATCATGGGAGGCCAGAGAGCAGACTATGATAAGAGCTCCCAGGCCGGGCTCGGTGGTTCAGCCCGTCATCCCAGCACTTTGGGAGGCCAAGGCGAGTTTACTGCCTGAGCCTGCGTGTTGAAGACCAGCCTGGGCAACTTGGCAAGACCTTGTCTCTACAATAAATAAATAAGAAAAAAAGAGCTCCCAATGGCCAGAAGTGGTAGCTCACGCCTATAATCCCAGCTACTTGGGAGGCTGAGGCAGAAGGATCACCTGAGTCCAGCAGGTCGTCCGTGGTAGCTGTAACTGTGCTACTGCAATCCAGTCTGGGCGACAGCGTGAGGCTCAAACTCAAAAAAAAAAAAAAGGCCAGCCGGGCATGGTGGCTCAAGTCTGTAATCCCAGCACTTTAGGAGGCCAAGGTGAGGGGATTGCCTGAGCCTACAGGTTTGAGAACAGCCTGGGCAACTTGGTGAGATCTCATCTCTATAATAAAAAAAAAAAATTAGCTGGACATGGTAGCACGTAGCTGTAGTTCTGGTTACTTGGAAGGTAGAGGCTGAAGGATTGCAGGTCAACAATGGGATGGCCATGAGTGTGCCAGTGCACTCCAGCCTGGGTGCTGGAGTGAGACTCCAACTCCAAAAAAAAAAGAGAAAAAAAACAAAGTGCCCAAAGATACCTGTCTCCTGATACTCACACCCTTTGGTAATTCCTTCCTCTAGAGTGTAGACTGCATTTAGAGAAAAGAATGCAGGACAGGCAATAGAAAGTCAATTCTGAGATTAGGTTATAAAACGACTATGGTTTCTGTCCAAGCACATGCTCTCTGATTCACTGAGAGGAAAGCCAGTTGCTATGTTCTGACCTGCTCTATAAAGGGGCCCACATAGAGGTTGGGTACAGTGGCTCACGCCTGTAATCTCTGTACTTTGGGAGCCAAGGCGAGAGGATTGCCTGAGCTCCCCTGAGGTTCAAGACCAGCCTAGGTAACTTGGTGAGATCTTGTCTCTACAATAAACGAAGAAAAATTAGCCAGGCATGGTGGTGCATGCCTGTAGTTTCAGCTACTTGGTTTTGTTTTTTGTTTTTTTTTTTTTGAGTTGGAGTCTCACTCAGTCGCCCAGACTGGAG